GCTGGATGGCGAGAACAGATACCGATCTACACTACGTCTTGCGGGATTTTCTCCAACCAGATATCTCCCGCCAGCGAGACACCGCTCCGCCCGGACAAATGCGTAAGTTCCCAACTGCTCCCCGGACGTGTGTGGTATTGTAATGCACGTAAGCGTAAGTGCGTGTAACTAAGGGGCGATAATAGGACAAGGAAACGGAAGCACATATCGCACGCGGTTTGTGTTAAGTGTGGTGAGATGAGGTGGTTTTAAAAATTGCTTAAGTTTGAATTTTTTCAGCTTCTTCCTAGAACTATAGAATTGAATAGAGATTTTTCCTTCCAATAAAATTTATTCTCCTAGTGAGTTATTTCATTAAGATCCTGTACAATTTTTACAAATTTTAGTCGTTTTCGCGCGGTACTACGAACAATACGTGCAATTTAAAAAAAATACAAAAAACTAATTTTCTTAAGAACGGTTCCAATTTTTTCTTTAAACTTTTGATAGGAATATTACTAAATGCACACAATATGATGACATAAACGCCATATCACTCTATTTTGTTTTATCAAAAATTACAAAAACCTATTTTTTAACTTGTCACTCACGTCGTTAGTATTTACATTACCAGCAATTTGTTTACATTAATTTGGATGTGAGTATACGTACCTTAAATAATGTCAGATAAAGATTCTCGAAAACTCAACTGTTTTCTGTTGAAAGTAGCTCTAAATTCCGCATTTTTAGTAACACTGAAACGCCATTTTCTAACTGCATTGTTTAAAATGTCATAGGAATAATTTGGATGTATTTATTTGCTTTTTCAAAAATTACACAAATGTATTTCTTTCAATATCTCTCACTCCTTTAATATGCATATTCCAGCGATTTGTAATCACTATTGCATTTGTAACAGGAAGTGCTTCAAATGACTTCTAATGGTGCTTTTCAGAAACTCAATTGTTTTCTCTGAATAGAGGGTCAAATTTCGAATTTACAGTAGTGCTTAAACGCCATTTTCATAAATACTGCTCCAAATGTTTCAAAACAAATTGCCATTTAGGGCACGATTTTACTGTTTTTTAATATTTTTAAAATAATATTTCCGTTCTGCTATAATAAGACCAAAAAAATTCAGAAAATTTCAAAAAAAATGTACTTTGAAGGACGTTACACTTGTATGGCGGCTGGGAAGTGCAGCCATACAAGCCATACAAGAAATACGAGAATAGCTAGCCGAGACCAAAAGAAAAAGAAAACTAATACGGGAAAGTCTGTGTCACTCTGTAGCACCACTAGTTTAATTTCATATACCGCTTTGCCAATGGCTTTTAAACTGATACACTGCTTGTGATTCTTGATCTTTCTGAAATTTACCTACCATTCACTTTGCAGATTTTCTCCACAATATCATTGACACAATTCTTTCCTTTGGCGACGTAAAGGTTCCTTTTCAGAGTAGGAAAAACCCTTCCGTCAAATTATCAAGCGAATGCCAATTGTAAAGAAATGCGCGAATGCAAACTGTCGCGTTATGACGTAAGTCCGGTAGATAATCTCACTTTCCGCATCTTTTTCCATCTTGCAACATCTTAATACAACTCATCTGGAAACTCTTACGTCTACTTCCGAGCCTGAAAAAATATAAACACGATTGCAAAATAAACTTTCCCTCATTGTTCGTTACCACTTTGGTCGTGGAGATATTGTGGAGTACACTTTGATATGAAGTTCATAATACGATGTCGTTATACAGATTTGTACCCTTCACGCTAAAATATATAGCAAGATAAAATCACGCACAAAACATTCATACAGCCAAAAATCCTCATATTCCTTATCAACCACACCTTACTTCCTTTTTATACGCTAAATGAGATGGCAGGAACTCTATAATGTAAAATAGCAAAGATAAAAGGAGTACCAGTTAAAACTTACAGCGGTTGCGGTGAGGGGATAATAATGACAGATTTCAACTATAAGATTCAACTCACACTACAGAGAAAAATAGAGTTCCTCTAAATTATTTTTATCAAGTTGCTCGAAAACTCAAAAATCTTCTGTTAAAAAGGCTGAAAATTGTGCAAATTCAGATATACTCAATCTACATTTTCTTCAAAACGCCAGAAAATGATCCAATGAGAGTTAGCAAACGAAATTTTTGAGATATTCTGAAGTTATATTTTTATTCTGTTACAAAGGAACGAAAAATTTAGAAAATAGGAAAAAGTGCATATTTTTTATTAAATAAATTTTCCTAAGTATACATTTTAACAAAAGAAACTAGTGATGTTACAGAATGACACACACCTTCCTGTTCTAGTTTTCCATTTCTTTTGATCTCGGCTAGCTATTTGAGCGTGCTACACACTCTTGCCAACCGCCATCTATCGTGGTCTCGAGTACATTTCTTTTGAAATTTTCTTTATTTATCGGTTTACAAACAGAACGGAAATATTATTTTAAGAACAACAATGAACAGTAAAACCTCGTCCAAAACCATTAACCCTCATCAAATCTCTTCCTCCTTGAATTTACAGTTGCGCAGAAAATTGATGTTGAGATGTCAACGGAAATAAACATTCTGAGGTCTCTGATACCGAAAAAATATTCTTGCTTTTCAAATCGGTCGTCTGTCTGTGAGTCTCTCAGTCTTTCGCCCTATAATAATAATAATAATAATAATAATAATAATAATTAATAATATTATCCAACCCCCCTTTAATTGATATTCAAGACCAACAACCTTGTCTTAACCAAGGGATGCAGCCGAAAGGCTTATCCTCATAATTCCATACGTTGATCTCTCCACGATAGAATACAGCTGGCCCTCGGAGAGAGAAATGTTGCGTGGTCAGTAGTGACACACACGATAATATCAATAATAACAATTATTATTATTATTATTATTATTATTATTATATTCTTTACATGCGAAAAATACTCAAATACTTTCTATTCGATACTGCAACGTGAGAAGCAAATAATTCAATGCGGGCAATCTCCTCTTTGAAGCCTTGCTTTCACAATACGTCAGCTGCATCCTAAGCAGTAACCCAATGAGCATGCGAATCCATTCCGGTACCAGCAGTATGAGAATAAGAAGTGTAAAAGATAAATAAAAGCTGTGTAAGCGCTAAGTAAAATTATTAAATTTTTGAATTTTCATTACAAATTGAAAGAATTTGATTGTTTTTGGATATTATCCAAATTCTTGTGAATCTAACGAATCCATAGACACCTCTCACACGGTTGGAAGATGCTTAGTTTTTTCGAATCGTTACGCGCATTGGAAGTTACTAACAAACATTGTGAGTTATGCAATATAGCAAGCGTCCTGCACATTTCTTATGTAAATTGTATTGGTTATTATGAAGTTTTTTTCAATAGAATAAATAAAACTTTTCCTCAACTAAATATATTCTTAATAGGCATAATTTCAAATGCGAATGTTGCGCTCTTCTGAGAGCTATTTTATTTTAATATATTTTCTGTCGAAGCAAAATATATTCTTATGAAATAAACCGTAACAAAGAAAAATATTCTCCTTTGTATGAAACAAGAACAGGATGAGTAATTCCGTTCTGTTATGACCCGAAAACCTAGTGACCGATTTGTGCAAAGAGTATATTGCTCAAAACAAAGAGTAACAAAGGTCAAATTACAAAAGGAACTGTCAGAAAGTTATTCAAAACCGTTATTTTGAATTCTGCATTGTATATGTTGTATTGTTTTATGTTATGCTTTTTATTCCTATTATTCTTTCATTTCCCATTGTTCAAAACAATATCCGGGTTCATTCCGTGAGTTAATAAATTAATATATATTTTTGACGTCATGATCATTTATATGGGATTTAAATTATGAACATATTTTGTTTTAGAAGTCAATACACACGCATTGCACAAGTTATTTCTACGGCCTACTTTATGCCTTTGCAGGATCAATTGAAATTTATGAAATTAAATAATGAAATTAAATGTAAGCGTCATTGTTATCTGCATTTGCAATTTTGCAGTATTTTCCGGTTATGGTTATTACTATTGACCATTAACATAGAAATTAAAATTCTCGTAGTTCTAAAAAATTCTTTCAAAAAAATATTTTCCATCTTTTAAGTTGAATTTATACGCAATGGAAAATAAATGATTTTAGTGAAAATATTACTTCAAGCATGTGAGGTAATATTTATAAGCACACATAACATATAAATACACATTCACATAATGTTTTTTTTTCTTATTACCGTATGGAATTTATACGTATGAGGTATGTGTATAGCGTCAATTGCATACGATGCACAAACGTAACATCCCAAACCATTTGTCAACCTTATCGGAAAATCACACAAGTTTCCTCTTCACATCCTTTAGGTATGAATTCCGAAGACAGTTTTAGGCGGCACATCAAAGCAGGTGAACTGTCAACAAAACTTACGTCAGTTCCCTAAAAAACGTCACTACCTCTAGTACCTCTCCATTCACAACGGAAAGTAGCTGCTCAGACGAAAGAAACGGGTAAAACCCGCCTTTGGCGGAGATAAGTAGTTCCGTCTTGCATCATCTACTCGGAATTGCGCTCAGAGCATTTTGCTCTGCGCACCAGGCCACATGCGTATGCTAAAATCCTATTCCCCCTCCAATGCCATTGGAAATATCAGGGCGTCTCCGACTTTTATAAAGGTGTTCCTTCACTTTATTGAGCAGAAGCTTTTTTGCTCGTGCTCAGTGAACATGTGGTGTAGTGTAGTGTTATTTGAAGGTTATTTCTAACGGAATACTTGAAAAACAATCCTTCAAAGACATTGAAGAACTAGTGTTTTGCTAATACAGTTAATCGCAAGTTAATCAACAGCAAGACTGCAGCGGTTGTAACATTTTGTTATTGGTTGTGCTGATAAAACTATTGTTGATAAACGAAAGATATTGTGATAACTGTGATATCGACACGCATTCTACGCTCAAGAAATTCAATTTTTTGTGTAATTAGAAAGTTAAGTAAAAACTTATAAATTAAAAATGGCTTTACAGGTTCCGATAAAAGAACTGAAACAAAAAGTGAAAATGAAGAAGACAGTTTCAGATGATTTAAAACCGTTTTATGAACAGGCTAAAAACTTACAAAACGACACAAAGTATGTTAAACAAACTAAACAAAGTCCATTGCACATGACCCTACCAGGTTCAAAATACATCGGGCCTGGTAATTCGCTAAATGCGGGTGAGCCAGTGAATAATGCCGACACAATTGCATTTTTGCATGACTGGGCGTATGTATTAGCCAAAAGTCCACAAGATGTACAAGAAGCGGACGAAATTGCTATTAATTATTTTGATAAAGAGTTTAAACAGTCTGGTAACTGGCAAGCTCTAGTCGGCGAGATGGGTTTGTGTGTCAAGCACTTTGTGGAACTGAAGCTTGGTCGAGTGTTGTACCCTTCAATGAGTCCAGGTAAAGTAAATAATGTATATATTTTGAAAAATTGAATGACCTCTATGTTGGCGATAAAATGAGCTGCTGTAGGCAGAGAAACGTTAATGGAAGGTGTTAAAAGCCATCCCTGCCACTCAAAAACTGAAATACCAAAATCCCTAAAAATAGTTAACTTCTCACACAGTTGAAGAACAATTTGGATGATTTTATTGTACAATTACTTAAATTTGACTGTTCATGGACGTTAAAAAGTCGCCGCGTATATGGTAGACAGAAGATTTACGAATGTACGGTGAGCAATGAGAATTATATTTTTTCTCACGGAAAAATAAATTGTGCCAGACTAAAACGTTTCCTCGTTTTAGATTTGTGAAATACGTGACGAGCAATTTCACAATCCACGCTACCGTAACGTATGTATGCCTGAAGAATTTTACTGTTTTTGGCCTTTTTTTAAACATTATTTAAGTTTTCACCAAAAATCCCCATGTGTCTTAAGGACTAGGGGGATTTGAGTGAGGCAAGGATTGGGAATGGGGACAGGCATAACCCCATGGTTCCAACTCCCGTTTCCTAGGCTAAAGTTGAAATAATTACGATTTGGCTGTTTACGGTACTAAACTACGTGTTCCTCTTGACCATCTGCACCAATGGATATTATTTCTAAACCAACACTAAAAGATGTTACTCCTGTCGAATATAGGTAGTAAAAAAGTATCTAGACTGCTGGGGTCGTGTGCGACCCACATCCTTCAATAACATCATGGTAAAATAATACCTTATTCACCTCAACGGCCATAAAAATGGATTTAATTACAGAAATATTGGCCTTAAATTATTTTGAACGGTTCCAGTACATTTTCTTCCTATACGACATTTAGCAGAAAAAAAGTAAAAATCTTTTTAATAATCAAAGTTTAATTGGCAAACCTTGTAAACCATATCATACTTTCCTGTGTCCAGGTCAATTGTAATGCAAAATTTAAGCAGCTGGAGCAAGATAGAAACTTAGGAAAGGGAGTTGCACATCATTACTCTTTGTTCAAAGATATACTGACAAAATATTGATTCGGTTCACACTCATAAAATAACCGGACTAATGGCGAGTTAAATTGACCGTAGAAGTTTTTTTTAAATTCACAATTAATGTGAGAGTTTAATTTCGTCCGTCGTCTTTGACCTGTATCTGTATATTTAGAAAAAAATGCAATATATTTCATACTGTCTCCTGGTTGATGCCCAGCAGTTTTAGTAATAGTGTCAAACGTACACAGGAAACGAATCTTAGAATGGATTGCAGAATTAGTACAATTCCTACATTTACGTCTGTGTGTGCTTCCAGCATTCATTTTTCTATGTGAACTCTTTCATCTGAGGTTCAACTTCTGCTTCTCTTTCAGGCTCTGAAACATCCAGACCAGAATCAGAAGTGGACAAAACATCTACAACGGAATCTCGTCCAGATACACCTACCGACGCTCTCGAAATGGGTATGCATAGGAGTATTTCATTTTCATTTCTAAGAGTAATTATCCTAATGTGTTTTGCCTTTGAATTTGTAAAATAATGTTCACTATGGAATCTAAATGTTTCATATCGCAAAATAGCGAAGTATTACGAATGTTCGACTGTTGTAATAAAAGCCGAATATGATGTCGTAGGCTTCCGCGGCCAGAGTCATGATCTGGGCTGTCCGGGTGACGCCGCGTCGTTGGCTGATGTGCCGACGTTTCGACCGACATGTCGCGGTCCTCTTCAGGTACAGCCCCTGAAGAGGTCTTCACAGTACAGCCCCTGAAGAGGACCGCGACATGTCGGTCGAAACGTCGGCACATCAGCCATCGACGCGGCGTCACCCGGACAGCCCAGATCAATAGCCGAATATATTTTATTTAGTTCCAGCCTAGGATTCCCGGCATTGTTCGGGCACGTGTTTATCACAATCATCTATTAGATAGCTGATCTACATAGAGTTGCCCGGATTTTGCGAATAATGGTTCACATTATCACCAATAACTGCACGTTCTTTACGGATTTAGGTGTAAAAACATGAACTATAATCAAATTTACCATTTTTATCGAGTATAAAGCTTAATTTGTTAATATCAAATCGAAGTGCACCACTTTGCAGAGGTATTTATTTTGGGGACCTATTTGAAAGAAATTCTATCTACTCCCACCTTCCTTGAACAACAACAATAACATTAACAATAATAATTTTTATTTTTATGATTTTTATAAAAATAATAACAAAAATAATAAATTATTTGAAACACTAATCAGCATGTGGGCGTTTCTTTATACTTCAGACTCTAAAGGTTTTTTAGAAAGAAATCTGAGCTTTTCCAACTAGTGGATACTATCTTATTCACGATAAGTTTTCTACTTTTAAAATACCGGATGTACGAGTCCGTGTAAGGCCTTTCTAATAGAATCCTTATCTACAACGTTTGAGCAATCACTCTGTGTGACCCGCCTGCTGGTTTATTTGCCCCAAGTGTATTTTCCTGCACAAACTTCTTCTGAAATATTGTTTCAAGAGCAGTTAAAATGCTCATAACTTAAACTTAGTTTAATTTAAACAAATATATAGAAACAAAGAGAATTTTCGTTTGCTCCGAAATACCGGATGCATCTGATCTAATCTTTGGATTATTTTCTTCCAACCGCTGATTATTTTGTTACTTTTCAATTAAGAATATTTGCTTAATCATACTATTAAAATCCCCTTTAGTTATAGTTTATTAATAAAGTTCTTCCTATTAATTATCATTGTGATCTGTCACACGGTTAAATGTGTTTGGGAAAATACAATTTGGTAAACAAGGTAAATATTTAAAATTCTTGTGTTTACGAACAATCAGTTCTGTGGATATTTTTAGCTTCCGTCACATTTTGGCGAGTTTCCACAATAGCACGTAAAAGATGATTAATTTAAAATGTATATTACATATAAAAATCTCGCAGGTCTGGTGTAATTATGTATCTAATTACGAGTACATTATTGATATTGTAATGAAATTACAAAAAATTAATATTTTATAACTGAAAAGTGATAATCATTTAATTCATTGCATCTTTGTGCTTAGTAAACGTAATAGTTTTGATATTAACAAAAATAATCAATAATAATAAAATATAAAATAATAATGATAATAATAAACATCCAGGGCTAAAAATGGATTCGGCATGAAAGTTCTGATCCCACCTCGCCAAAAAAAATCTCACGTACACTTGCCCTCCGGAGAATATGACTGGGCGTCGGTGGGTATAAGTGGTGTGTTTACCAGGTCTTAGGATAGGCAATTCGCGACCAAAATAATAATAATAATAATAATAATAATAATAATAATAATAATAATAATAACAACAATAATAACATAATTTCAGTGTTGAAATGTTTAACAGACATTTAGTTTTATAACTTAGAATTTTGAAAAAAATGTAGTTTTAAATTCACCACGCGTAAAACACTAAAAATTTCCATTTTCAACTTTTTGGTACTCCAAAAATAAAATATTAATAAAGTAACTATTTTACCTGCTTTCCGTTTGTTATGTGTCATGCCACGAACAAAAATTTTGGATGATTCTTAGATTGCAAATTTTAGAAACAAGATATTTGAAAATAAAAATAACGAATACGAATTAATTTTACTCTTTTTCAGGTGTAAGAACTCGACGCGAGACTGATCACAATTTAGAAGAACTTAACAGGGAGAGAGCACAAGATGAATCGCAACGTCGGACATTTCTAGTGCGGTTTTTTGTCTGGATTCTTGATTTTTTGAGAGGTCGCGTGTGTATTTGTGGGTGTCGCAGTGTTAAAAATAAGAGGAAGTCTCAAAAGAGCTCGAAATCTTTTGTGGCAAGTTCACCAACAACGGATTTGCTACCATCAAAGAGTCTGGGGGAGAAAACTTCAAGAAATCCAGAGGAAAGGGAAACTGCAAGCTATCAAGGGACATTTCGATACATCAGCACATAGATCATCAATCTTAAACAAATTGGTTCAAATAGAACGAATCATTTCTGTTCCATAGGTCTCTTCTTAAAGAAAGTCATGAAATGTAAATAGAGCGAAGAAGATTATTTATGTATAAATTTATTTGTTTATTTATTTACAATATTAAGTTCCTATTTGTGGCAGACTTCGTATAATAACCGTGAACGAATATTAAATATTATTATGATATAATCATGAATTAAAATATTAATGCGATTCAAAATAAATCACATGTTACTGATAATTGTAATCATTTTTTGTTCGACAAATCCTTTTCCTCTTCTTCAATTCTAATGATATTCTGTAAGGTTTACATGATATCCACATAAAGTAATAGAGTATAAAATGTGAGTGTCGCACATCAGTAGTTCCGATTCATAACAAATGAAATAATAGTTTTCCAACATTTGCAATAAATTCTGGTGGCATCATGTGGCATTATATAGAATAAAATTTTAGATTTATTGAACATTTTCTTATTGTGTTTTCAGCAAAACTGATTTTTCTTACCAAAACTTTACACAATAAATTTAAGTGTCCAAAAGTGTACTAAAAAATTATTCACAATTTTCGAAGTAAAAATAAATAGATACATTCATTGGAATAACTGAACCAGCAAAGGCATTATCAAATGGGGAATTTTAGGCAGAAGATTGCGAAGAGAACGTATTAACCTTTTTCCAATGACTCATTAAGTATAGTCAGGGAAACGTCCGGGTTCCTAACGTCATTGCGGTAAAGATAGCAAACTCGGCGGTTATATTTAAAACTCCTTGGCCCCAATAGAACGTCACATCAATTCACGCGTTTCTTCTTTGTAGACGTAGTGTTTATACGAGTAGTATAAATCTAGTGTTTGTCCCCTCTTCAAGTGATACCTTCCCTTCCACCAGCATATAATTTTTCCTCCAATCATAGTATCTTCTTTTGCTATTCTCTCGTCGACATTTAGACAAAAATAGTGTCTAATTCAATTCTCCCAACGCAAAATAATCCACTCATAAATTCACTGAATTCTGAACGATTATCCATTTATGTTACCCTGCGCAAAAAAACTAATTGTCCTCGTTTTCTCCTTCTAGAGGATCTGGAGCTACATGCGGTATATGACAGAAATTCTTAACTTCGTTAAGATGGGAGTTTTGTTCAGTTAAAAACCAGTAATTTCTATGTCTATTGAGAAAATCAATTTGCCTTTTTAGATATTCGAATTAATAATAAAAATAATATTATGTTCTCATAAAACAACGGTGGGAAGATATGGGTGGCAATACTGTGAGACATTTCTGTAAAATGGATCAGTTGCCATTACAATCAGGTGCCCATTATAGTCAGGTGGTTTTTACAGCACAGTAGAACTGAATTTAAAAGCAAAGATTTATTCATATATAAACATTTGAATTTTCAAAAACTTAAACAGTTTTCGTAGACGTTTAAAAAAACGCCTCACTCCCTAGCCTATTAAAAATAGCTCTTTGATATTTCAGTTCTCATAGGAAGGTGCACTGTCTCACGTGTACGCGCAAATAAAATAAGAGTGGCTTTGCTTTATCTGTCCTCTACTAAACCGATGCATTTCCGACTTCGACCTTCGGCCCTAATCCACATATCTTTCAATGTACGGAAAAAGGTTTTTGGAACTTGAAATCGTATGCAGCATTACTCCTGAGGACAGACCGGATTTTGGTGGGAATTATTTATTATCATTTGGTAAAACTAGTCGTGCTACAATAGCATTTTCTTTCTCTTAATTACGCAACAATAACTAATATTTTGAAAATGCGCATGTTATTGTTGTTAATAAAACAATTTCATTTTGTTACATCAAACGTGAGTCATTCAATGCTTTATTTACGTCGTTTCCGCGTAATTACAATTTTCTTTCTTTTAATTAATCAACAGTCTTATACCGAATGCGTTGGTTTCGATAGTAATGACTTTCCTTTGTTTTATTGATTTGATTATTGATTTCATGTAAGCAACCAGATAGAACATTAATATAATCCGCGTACAATTTCCTTAGCCCTCATTTCTCAAAATGCAAGAGTTGTGGGGAGTTTTATTTTGTCGACAAGACTATTACATTACGTCTGTAGCTCGTTTTTCCAAGCAAAATAGTTCTTAATACACAGGAGCGAGCACTTCTGGTTACTGGTTATGGCGAGATTACGTCTACAACGTTTCTTGCTCTCGTTTATTCTGAATTTAAATAATATTAGTAAATAAGAGAGGGTTGGTATTCCGGGGCTCAAGAAAACAGTGACTGAAGCGCATCTTTGCAGCCGAGCCGCCATTTTCTTTATCAAGTCCGGGTGTACGCGAAACGGGCGTACTAGAAATTCTCCTACTATATATTCCCACGAACAAAAAAAATATTTAAAAACAAACACAAGAATTGATAAACATTGATTTAAAATCATTTATTATCGTAAAAAGAACTGTCACATATCAAGGAGAAGTATAATATGTTCAATTTTTCTTGAGCTCTAGAATCTCTACCTCGCCTTTTACTACACATTGTTGAACAATGAAAAAATATACCAACAAAGGAAAGTAGGCAACATTTGAAAACTAGAAATTTTCGCTTCAGATTAAACGAAAACGTATTTGCATCTATAAAAGAATTGTAGATTTGATTTGATAATTTTGCTTACAAAATAACTACCCATAGCCTTCATCTGCTCCTACCACTTCTAGCAAAAGGAGAGCTCTACGAAATAATATTGATGTTAGCATCACCAATCGTGTCAGTCTGTCAAAATCTAATTCAAAAGCAGAAAAAATACAATGAATGCTCTTTCTTTCAAAAATATTTTTTGTTTGTCTGTTGCTGCAGTAGCTGAAGAAAAGAACAGAAGGCACTATGATACTGTAGTGACTAACACAACTAAAATAAAGTTAAACAAAAAATATAACAATATTCAAATAAAGTCTGTTGCAAACAACGCTTAATAGAGCATTTTAATATAAACTTACATATTTGTTTTGACAGCAGAAAACATGGCGGCATCTAATACTAGGGGCGTCCACAAAGAGCGCTGACACCATTTGGTCAATATCAAAGGTCAATCGTCCAAATATTGTAAATATTTACGTTTAAGGTTTATTATAATTATTCGTAGATCTTTTTATAATTGTAACACACATTAAGAGTTGAGAATTATATTATAGAAACCTTTAGGATTAGAAAAGTTAATAATCAAAATGAATGTTTGCACTTTAATTAAAAAATTCTGTATTTTTTCTTAGATTGCAGACTTAAAGAGTGTTGGTTTGAATCCATAAAATAATGCGTGTAATCCCTATACAGTATTTGAGCCACTCCGAGTGTGCGGATGTGCGGATATTCATATGCTCGTATGTGAGGTTCCGTCACTCACAGCTAGACCACTTTTCGTACACTAATCGAGTCATATGAGGTGCTATTCGATATGTCTCGTTCTCCTGATGGAGAACTGATAATTTGCTTCCGGATCCGGCCATATGATTAAAAAAAGTTTCCAAAAACGTGAATTTTCGTGTTTTGGCGCTGCGATCTTAGTGATAATGTCAAGAACTAAACCGATACTTCCTAAATCGATCTACCTAGGTAGCTTAATAGCTTAATACCTTGGTAGCTTAATACCTAGGTAGCTTAATTAATATCCAGTATTCAAAGAAATTGTTCACTCATAATATTTTGCAATTTGAAAATTGCAAAAAATCGTGAATAGAAAATCAAACAAATTAGAAATGGATCATTTTTAGTCACAATATCTATTCAAATAAAATAATTAGACATTGAGTGTTCCTGCTGTCCGGAAGACGCCGCGTTCTAGGCACAAATGCCAACATTTCGGCCGTTATATTGCGACCTTCCTCAGGGCGAAATGAGGAAGGTTGCAGCCTGACGGCCTAAACATTATGAGCCAAGAGTCGTCGACAGCAAAGTAGACTCCGACTCGGGTCTCGGAAGACTACTCTTTAAATTGCACATTGAGTTTCAAATTTTAGGACCTGAAGCCGAGGAATTACAAGAAAACTTATAAAAATGTTTTCAACTACGGCCACTACTAATACTCCCTTACCTTAGAATTTCTTAAATATTTGATTGGCCACATAAAGATCAATACCCAGCTTAATTCCGTCTTTCCAAGGATCCACCTTTCTATTTTCTATTTTTTACAACCAGATAGATCCTGTCCCTGTTTGATCGTCCGGCTCCTTCGCATGGAAACGTGTGTCATTGTAGCTGTCACTCACGGAGGTCGACGCCAGCGCTGCCTACCGGGATTATCCACAGGCGTCGAGTGGGCGGCGAATCGAGGTTAACTGGCGGTGGAAGCAGGAAGCCCGAACGACAGCGCACTCTAGCGGCGGGCGTCGGCACCCACAAGCGCTTCAAGCGCACACTAGCTTCGAGGAGGTACGAGACGGTGTCCACTAGAGTGAGCTGCAACGCCCAAGACCCATGAAGATGTAAGTATGTGCGACATACGTTTTCTAGCGAGAACCGCGGTAGCAAAGGTTAATATTTAAAGAAATTAGATATTTATCGTAATGGCGTAATGTATCTAGAGCAACTATATATTTTTTGAATGTAATGTTCCTTTTATGATTTGACAAATAGTCCACAAGAACCGTTTGTTCATTTACTAACTAGGGTGGAACGCCTAACCAATCTGCCAAATGTGCTAAAAAGTGTCAAAAAATGAAAATGTTACAATTTCATAATATCACCTAGGTCTAGCAAGAAATGAATTAAACTCGTTTATAAGATGAAATGTGTGAATGTTGTAAATTATATTCAGGGTCTTCCATTAAATTATAAATAAACTACTTTGTGTATAAATGAAAACGAATAATGTTTGTATTTTTTAACATATCAGTTCCACGGGATATTTAGTAAGCTGTTGTTTAGCCTGAGTACCAATGAGTTTAAAAATATATTGTTAATGATTTTCTCTTTCGACTAACTTACACGACTTTTAATTATTTGCTGGTCAATGAAAATAGTTGCTTACCTTCGTTCAATTGCAGCTTGTTAAATG